ATGTCTTTGTTTTAACAAACATCGCGCGGGCAGACAGAACTAAAGGTCACAATCTTCTCAATTTAATTTGATATTTAAATTTATTTAAAGATAATTTTACTTAACTAAGTGTATTGAAATCCTATACTTATTGAGTAGCTAGTCTAGTCGCTAATGTCTTTGTTCTAACAAACGCAGAGAAACTAACGTGTATATTTGCAGTATTTAATTTTTGTCTTGGTGATTATTATGCCGCATCCTTTCAAGGCGTTTTCTAGCGCCCGGACACATTGGGCCACCACAATTACGCCTTCATAAATCATTCACATAGATATATTTTTGAATCTTGTTTTGGCCAGGCCATAGAAGGATTTAAGAAATATTGGTTTTAATCTCTCAAAAAAATATACTCTCTCAAAAAAAAATAAGTGTTGTCAATTAGATCTTTAACATTCAGTATATTTTAAATATTTAATTATTTCGTGTTCAGTAACTAAGGAAACGGATTTCTATTGTTCTAATTATTTATAACAATTTTCCTGTTTCCTTACTTATTGAACACTCTGTAAATAGACTGGGTATATAAATTATAAATACCCAGTTTTAAATATACTTAAGACACACAATGGCATATGCTTTATAACGACATTTATATGTAAAAAAAAAAAAATAATAAAATTTCGTCGTAATTTGATAAATTACTATATTTTTAAAATTTTTAAATAAATAAATATATTCAATATATCATCCAAAAATATGTCTTATTCTTTCAAATCTTTGAATTTTATTAATAAAAATTTTAAAGATGTTTAAAATGATAATTTAAATTATGTTTAAGGTGTCACCTAATAAAGTTACAACATTAATTATTATATTACATGGTAATATAATTTTTTTTCTATTATAGAAAATTTTTTGATTCTTGTTAGAAATATTTTTATAAAACTATGTTTTTAACTTTTACTTTAGTAATCAAATTTATATACATAAATGTTTCAAGGCGTTACTAATATAAATATTTGTTTTCTTTTAAACAAATTTAATAGTTTATAATAAATTTGAAACCAAAACTATTTTTTATTTTAATAGAAATATTTATTTACACAGAGCATAAATAAGTCTTAAAATTGTTACGATTTTAATAATACCATACCTGAAAACTTTGTTCGGAGAGCTNAAATTGTTACGATTTTAATAATACCATACTTGAAAACTTTGTTCGGAGAGCTTATAAAATGTCAATATTTAGGATGACTTTAAGAATTTTCTTTGTTTCGCACAAAAAATAAATGCATAAAAGTATACATTTAATAGAAAAAACCCAGCACAGTGGGATCGCGGAACAGTGGGGACGTGGTATAGTTGGGTCCAGTATAGATTTAATCTGACAGTGATTAAAATCACTATCATAAGAAACGCTTCGATGCAAATCTGTAGATAGTGTTTAATTCTAAGAAATTGGTGGATAATTACAAAAGCAACATCAACTGCTATTTCCTTAATTATATCCAGATTAGTAATTCTTTTACTTATATATTATATAATTTTTATAATTGTTTTCAAATTATTATTGATTTTTAATATGTTAAAAGTAATAATTTTTAACCAACTTTATTTCGTTCTTTAAAGTGAAAGTTTATAATAAAAAAAAAAAAATGAATTTATTACTTTTAGCTCAACTTGCAAGTTTAAAATTGACATTGTTAAATAGAAAAAAATGAAATTGTTAAGATTAATATGCAGTCAGGAAATTTTATAATTAACTATTATACAGTAAATTTATCAGAAAAGTTTGATTTTTCTTTACATTTTTATCGTAATAAATCACTCAAATAAAAATCATAGTAATCATTTCTAATTAACTTTTTGTGTTTAAAAAGATTCTGCAATGGAAATATTCAAAACTTATTTAATTTTAACAATTTACTTTAACAAAAAGAACCAATAAAAAAAAAGTTGTTAAAAAGATTTACTCAATTGAGCGTATTATAAAATTTGATTATAATTGTAAAAAACCATCGTTAAATTCAGTTGAAACGAAAAAACATTTTTTTTTAGATTTGTGTTTTATATAGCAATATGTTACAAAAAAATTTGGAATATTATAGACTGGTAGTTGCACACATAAATAGAGTAAAAAAATTAATAAATTACAAAGTAATATTATTTACTTTTGTAGTTGATACCTATCATATCAAACTTGATTCCTCAATAAATACCTTGAAAACATTAGAAATGAATAAATTTAATTGTTTGTATGGAAAAAGTTGGTTAAACTACTTCTTATTTGAATAAGGAATTTTTTTTCGATTTTTAAAAGTAATAACTTAAACTAAATACGAATTGTAATCATTTGACACATCGTTGATAAAAGTAGGTCTAGTGAGGGTTGGCAAAATAAATCGTAGCCACAAAAGAACCACATAGTAAAATAATATTAACATGAATATCAATTTCTTCTCAGGAGGGGAGACTATAGTGATAAGATCCTTTATATTTATTGAAATTATTGAATCTAAATGAGATAAATATCAAATGATTTGAAAATTTTTTTCTTACCTAAAAAAATGTAAAATATTATTGCCACAGGCGGAATCGAACCTCGTACCCTAAGCGTGAAAGACACAAGTGTTACCGACTCGGCAGCTGATCGTTGCTTTCGTCGCAATAATACCACCGGATTGGTATTATTATTATTAATTATTATATTTAATAATTTTAAATATTGTTACACCCTTCATTTCCGGACAGCTTTAAATGTGCCAAAAAGGGCGAAGAAGAGTAATTTTATTTATTTAAATATAATTTGTATATTATAAAGGTTTTAAATACTATTGTATTTTTCATTTCTGGTCAGCCTTAAATGTGCCGAACAAAGTGAAAAAACGTAATATTGTGATTAGAATTAATTAGTCTTAGCAGTAGTACTATATGTTTATGTACCTGCTAACTTAAAAGGACTATACTAATTACCTTCTAGTAACTTGCAAGCAGTTGAGTTAAAAAATAGCACTACATTTTTGAAAGAATATTTTGAATATTAAAAGCACGCATATTTCTTTGCGTGTATTTACTCCTTAAAAATTCATTTAATAAATAAGAACAAGAGAGAATGAGGTAGGAATATTTTATAATTCGATAACTCAACCTGTTTAACTCTTCGATCTCGAGATATCCTAAAACTAACTAAATACACATCCCTATTACTTTATCCACCATTATATTTTTTGTTTGTTACATATATATATAATTATTTAGGTATAAAACATTATTTAAACGTTCTTTTATCTTATCAATTATATATCATTACAAAATTAATGTTTTTAAAATCTGATTATTATAATAAAATACATGTTAAAACATTTTTTTAATTTTCTTTAAAATTATTTTTATACAATAAATAAATTGATAAGTGTACGATATTTTTCATAAAATGTTATAAAAAAAAAAAAAATAAAAATTAGTTGAAAATAATCTTATTTCACAAACATTTACAAAATTATAGTAAGATAATTATAAAATATTATTTTTGAAATTTTCTGTTTTGGTTATGTTTCCTAATCTTCACCTAATCAGACAACATAAAGTAAATTTTCACTGGTATTTTATTACAAAATGTCAAGTTAATTAATTATAATTTTAGTAAAAAAACAATAAAATGAATTAATATATACGAAGAAAACTGTTAATGCTTCAAAGTAAAATTCTATTAGTACCCCAAAAGTTTATTGTGAACAATTTTTTTGAATTGCATGAAGGAACCAATGGACATTTTGTTGAAAATTTAAATTTTTGTCAAACAAATTCAAAAAAATATATTTTATATACAATTTATTATTTTTTAGTTAATAATAAAATGTATTTCAAATAAATAATAAATTACGTCTTAGCAAGTCAGTATTACACGTGATGAATAAATATAATATAAATAAAAAATGTAATATTACTTTAAAAAAACACATATAATCAATATACAGGGTGGCCCACCACTCACTGACAACTTAAATAACTTTTGATCCAGTTAATATTTTTAGCTGATTTTTTTTTTAAATAATAGTTATACGTTAGGTCTATAGCTATATCTCAATAATTAATTTTTTTACATTTTATTAAAAATATTAATTATTTTTAAATTTTAAATAAAATGTAAAAAAAAAATCTAAGATAGCTATTTTGTAGAGTAGAATTTAAGAAAAATTTTAGTACAAAAATATCTTAAAAATATTCAATACTAAATATTCTGTAGCGTTTTGAAGTTTGTGAAAATTTGAAATTTCATATATTATTTTACGGTATTAAACATTGAAATACGTATTGAGAAAAGGACATTTGAATGAGAGTGATAAGTAATAATTGCCTTATCTAATTTCTTATCAAGGTATTAATGCCAAGTTTGTAATGTATATACATTATCATCATATGTTTACACAGTAATCATGAAAAGATAGCGTTTTCTTCTGTCAATAAAATCAATAAAATGTAAAAAAATTAATTATTGAGATATAGCTATAGACCTAACGTATAACTATTATTTAAAAAAAAAATCAGCTAAAAATATTAACTGGATCAAAAGTTATTTAAGTTGTCAGTGAGTGGTGGGCCACCCTGTATATTATAATATGAAAAAAAAATTATTTATTACTTAAGACATTAGTCAGTAAATCGAATTAAAAATCAATAGTCTAAATTGGTTTAATTAGAAATTATCTTATTGAGAGGAGCATCCGTATTATAATTTAGCTTACTAGCAGTAATGTAATACGGACACACATTTAATGATATTAGAGATAATAATTCAAGGATATCATTAGTATTATTCAATAGCTTATAAATAAATTTGATATCATTATTGAATATTGTCTTATAATACCTCTTCAGTACTTACTTATATCCTGAGGAGTCGTATTGTCTTCAAAAAAAATATATAAACATTAAATTAGCGATTTTCAAAACCTATTCTATTAGTATATTATATTTATTGTATTTTCTATTCTTACCAATATTATTAGAAGCTAGAATATTAAATAGAAATGCGATATTTATAATAAGGTAAAATAATCATTTTTAAAACATAAATATTTTATTCTCAAAATTGTTTTTAAATTTTTTGTAGAAAACATTAGACTCTAACTTGAAGTCATACTAAGATTTAAAAAATAACTTCTACTTGTATTAATTCCAATAGCTCTTATTACCAATGTCATCTGAAGTCGTATTAATATATAAATAAGATATAAGTTAAAAAAAAAATTATAATTATCACTATTATTTTTGTTTAACAGTAGTAATGTAAAAAAAAGATGGAGATCTAAAAGTTTCAACGGAAAAATTAAATGATTTTTTAGCTATTAGTTCAAGAGCATTAATAGTATTTTTCAATAGTATAAAATTAACTTTAATTTTATTATTGAATATTCTCTTAAATAAAGAGTAAAATATTGTACTAACTTGTTTCTATAGGAGTCGTATTGTCATCTAAACAAATAAATAAATATTAAATAAGCGATGTCCTTACCTATTCTACATATGTTAATTGTATACCCCATTCTTACCAGTACTATCTGAAGTCACATTGTTATCTACATAATAAAAAAGTTTTTAAATATTCAGGAAAGACTCCAAAAGTATCCGTAAAAATTGTTATAAAACTAGTAATATCATTATAAATGAATAAATCTTAAATTTCATGTAATTATGTGTGATTTTATACAATAAATTCTTACTTTTTCAATAGGAATTGACAAAAAAGTATTATTTATAATTTAAAGTTTTATAAAAAATAAGTTGAAAAAAATGCCAAAACAATACTTATTAAAACATAAATATGCTATTCTGAAACTTATTTTTAAATTGTAATTACGGTATATTAATCCCTAATTTGATGTCCTATTAATTTATAAATAACAGATTCTATATATGTTAATTCCATTTTCTCTTCTTACCAATATCATCAGAAGTTGTATACATATCTAAATAATAAATAAGTTAAAATAAAATAGCTTTACTAATATCTAGAAAATTAAATCAATCAAATCATTATTTACATCTCATAGCTGCGAACATGTCAATAGCTAAAAAAAAAAATAATAATAATATTATGTTTAATTTATTTTCACGAACTTATATGTAGAACCTTTTGTATGTTTAACGAAAGTTTTTTGAATATTCCATGATAAACATGCCCAACGAGTCTTTTTTGTTTAAATATTTTACATATAAATAAGATTTTATACTTCGAAAATGTTTCGGGAATTCCGACATGATTAAATATAGCTATGTAGGATTATCATAGACAAACGGAAGCTGAGAAGGTACTGGTTTTACAATGTTTAATATGTTTATATATAATATATGCAAAGGTTCTGGACTGATTTTGTTGGTTTATGTTTCAAAAAAATAATTTTAATATAGTTGTACCTGTCAGTACCAAAAATTTGTAAAACTCCATTCAATTTTAATAATAATTATTGTATAACATATCTCAAAACTATATATAATATTTGCTACTTTAAAAAAGGAATTATCAAATTTTTTTTTTCTTCATTTTAAAATTTCTACAATTTATTTTTAAATTACTGATTCTAAAAAACTTTAATTGAATAAACTAAAGACTAAAAACTTTATTTGGTTTACTTAGTATGAAAATCCAATAAAATAGTTTTGGAAATTATCTAAATAAAAAGTAGCTACCTGAAACACTGGTATTATAGTGGTTCGGGCCTTATTAAAAAAAAAAAAGAGTTGAAAGAGACCAATCATACAAACCAAAAAATTATTTTCAACACAATTTTGAATATTTTTCAGAACGTCTAACAATTTTTGACTTATTTAAAATTCAAGCTTTTGATGCGATTTATTAATAAAAAAAAAAAAAACCCAGCACAGTGGGATCGTGGCATAGTTGGTTCTAGCATAGATGATATCTAACAGTGATTAAAATCACAATCATAAAAAATGCTTTGAAGCAAATCTGTAGATAGTGTTTAATTTAAAAAAATTGGTGGATTATTCCAAAAGCAACATGATCTCTTATTTCCTTATTTATATCCTGATTACAAGTTTTATGATTTGTAAGTGTAATATATGTATTTATTAAAGCAATTAAATATAGTATGAAATTGATATTTAATAATTTAGTATTGTAAATTTTTCGGAGAATTTATAAAAAATTATAAAGTAGGTATTACTTTTATAGCAAACACGTATAAAATTGAAGGGCTTGACACAGGACTTTTTAGATTATAATTCGTTTTTAAATATGAATAAATATCCGCTGTATATAAGTGGACTACATAGGGAAAGGTAAAGGAAAATAAGGTAGTCGACAGCCAAAGTTTAATTAAAAATAAATGATCAATTTATTTTTTTATAAAGTTTGTATATCAGTAATAAGATAAAATATATAGAACAAGTGTAAACAAATAAGTGATCTAATTCTGTACATGCTATATTAAGCAAAGGTATATAGGAAAAAGAAAAAATAGTAATAAACAATCAGTCTTTCAATAAGTTAAAGATCAAATAATTTCTTAACCAAGTTAATGAATATAAATTTTCAACAAATTTTGCCTGCTGACTTCTCTAAATCGAAAAATCGTCGGGATTTTAGCTTTGATGCGAAGCTAAGAAGGTTTTAATTTTACTATGATGTGTTTTTTTTATTTTTTGTGTCTGTTACCACTCTTTCTCAGCTCTCACCAAACCGATTTCTCTCAACAATACATCAAAAGATCACAAATTGTATTTAGTTAAAGAAATTACCCTCAAAAATTGAAAAAATTTCCCTCGTTTTCCGTAAATGGGGGAAATCTCCAAAAAAATTACAAATTTAAAAATCACTAATTTTCGAAATTTTTTCAATTATTTTTACTTAAAACTGCCGTAACTTTTTTAAAAATGAACATATCAATATAATTTTTTTTTTATATAGATGCATGATGTATTTATCTATCATTTGGTATATTTTTTTTGAAAATCTGACACTTAACGTACCCATAGGGGGGGATTTAAAATGACAACTTTTCAAAGTGTTCCGGAAATACTGACACTTTTATATATATATCTTAAATTAAAGGTAATGTAATGTACTTTATTATGAAAAAAAAAATTTTCATAGTAAAAACAGAAATCAAAGATAATAAAAAAAATACGATTTTTGTAAAAAAATTCTTTTTTATATTCTTAACTTTATAATGCTATAACTTTTTGAAAAATGTATGGATCGTTATATTTTTTTTGAGATAAGTACTATTTATATTTATATATTATTAATATTGTATATTGATTTATTCATATATTACACTTCTAAATCATAAAACTTGTAATCAGAATATAAATAATGAAATAGGAGATCCTGTGGCTTTTGGAATAATCCATTAATTTTTTTAAATTAAACACTCTCTACAGATTAGCATCGAAGTGTTTCTAATGATAATGAGTTAAATCACTAACAGATATCATCTATAACGTCTCTTAATTAGTAGTCTATAACAAATTAAACTCTTGAAGTGCATTACAATATTAAAATAAACTCTCCCACAATTGTTCTACTATTAGAAATCAGCCGTCAAGAAAAATTACACAATTTTCAATTAAGTAAATAATTTAACAAGTATTTAATTTTTTAGTAAAAGTACAATATATCTATAATTTGTTAAAGTAATTATAATGTAAAATATAGTCTATACAAGTGTGTTTATCCCGGCTGAATTATTTAATTAAAAATAGATATTATAATTTTCATTTCATTGGTTTATTTCTCAACGTTCTTAATATAATTTACTTAAAATAAAATCACCATAATGATGTGATTTTTTACTCACAATAGTAAGGATCTTCAAAAAAATCTTGTAATCCTAAAAAATCGATATTTATTAATAATAAATGATAATAATAATGTAAAACATTACTTATTAAAACATGATTATTTTAGCCTCAGACAATATATTTTTTATATTTTATGTAGGAAAAATTAGCCTGTAACTTGAAGTCATATTAAGATCTAAATAACAAATTCTATATTTATTAATTCTATTTCCCTTTTTTAATACTATAATTAGACACTATATTGATATCTAAAAAACAAATAAGTTAAAATAAAATATTTTTAGTAATTTCTAGTGAATATAACTTCAAAAGTATTTACTCATAAATAAATAAATCTTAAATGACATCTATAATGTTTGTTTTTATAAAATCAAATTCTCTTTTTTTCAAAGATATTGGAAAGAAGTTGTTGATTTATTGTATAACATAAAATTCTTTAGCTAAGTACTTACTTGTTTCTTGACTAGTCATATTGTCATCTAAAAAAATATATAAACATTAAATTAGTGATTTTCAAAACCTATTCAATTAGCATATTATATTTATTGCATTTTCTATACGTTCCATTCTTACCAGTACTATCTGAAGTCGCATTGTTATCTACAGAATAAAAAAGGTGATGTAAATTTTTTTGTAGGAAACATTAGACTTTAACTTGAAGTCATATTAAGATCTAAATAACAACTTCTACATATATTATTTCGATTTTCTCTTCTTACAAAAAGCATTTATTCCAAAGGCAAAATGAACTCCTATCATTATTCCTAATTAGTAGTTGATTTATAAGTATAATTTATGAATAAATATCTATTAAAACAATTCGTATTATGAAATTGATAATTAATAATTTAGTATTGCAATTCTTTCGGAGAATTTATAAAAAATTATAAAATAGTTATTACGTTAATAGCAAACATGTATAAAAATTGAAGGGCTCGACACACAACTTTTTAGATAATAATTCGTTTTTGGTTATGAATAAATAGTATGCAAAAAATTCTCATCAGGGTAAAAAAGATACTTTTCTTATTTAATTTTTCGTGCTAATTTCAAATAAAAAATTATATTATTATATAATTTAATATTGTAATTTTTAAAAAAAATTGTATTTTATTTATTATTTTTTAAGTCCGTTTTCACCATGAAGACTAATTAAAGTCCAAATTTTTTTTTCCATATTAACCTATATTACATTAGTTTTAATTTAAGATATACATAAAAGTGTCAGTATTTCTGAAACACTTAAAAAAGTTAAGTTACAAAAGTTAATTTTTTGTGAAAATGTAGTAATTTTTTATTCCTTCTTGTGGGCAGTTAAAGGGTCATATTTATACAAAAATGTACAAAATTATAAGTAAATACCTCATGAATCTATAAAAAAAAAAAATATACTGATTACATTAAAAAAAAAATATGGCAGTTTTACATAAAAAAATTGAAAAAAATGTCGAAAAATAGTGATTTTTAAAATTGTAGTTATTTGGAGATTTCTCTCATTTACGCGGAACGAAGAAAATGTTTTCTATTTTTGAGGGTAATGTCTTTAACTATATACGATTTGTAATCTTTTGACATATTGTTGAAAGAAATCGATTCGGTGAAATATGAGAAAAAGTGGTAACAGACACACAAAAAAAACACATTATAGTAAAATTAATATCTTCTCAGCTTCTCATGAAGCTAAAAATGGTCTATTGAAAAAATACAATTTCAGATTTGGAATCAACGTGAAAAATTGGTTAAATAAATTATATATTGGTCTCTAATCGTTTAAAAATATTTAATTTTACTGATATAATTTTTATGAAATTCAGTAGAAAAAAAATATTTTTATACTCCTATTAATTTGGAGATATTTAATTAAAAAAAGTTTTTTTGAAATGGGGTCAGATGAATTAGCCTCATGTATATTGTTATTTTTACTATAGAATTTATTACAATTTTAGATGGATGTGTCAATATAATGTTCATGTGATACGTAGAATATGATAATAGAGAACACAATGTTCATCGTATTGTCTGTTATAAATGTTTTATAATAATTACGTTACAAACAAAATTTTTAGTCTAAATATAATATTAAATAAATGATATCATACTAATAACGTAAACAATTATTGTTTAACGATAAATAACATATTTAACAAAAACATTTATTGAATAAAAAATTTATATTTGAAAGTTTTATGGAGATAAAAGTGGCCTATAGTGTCTTTTTGAACTGTCTATGCTAATGAGTTAAACGGAGAAATTTAATAACATTATATTAACGAATAAATATTATATTATTTAAACGTTGAATACCACAAATTTAAAGGTACATTATAATTTATTTATGCGTTAAAAAAAATAATATGTCAGTCCCACGCTAAATATAAATAGTTTTAAATTTTATCCTTAAATTTCCACAACTTATTAATATACCTTCTTGAACGTCAGAATTATCGTATACATGATTGCACAAAGGACAACTGTAGCTTCTCTTATTAAATTTCCAAGTATCTATACAACCTTTGCAAAATTTGTGTGAACAGTCTCCTATATATGTATCTTGATTAAGATCTAAACAGACAGAGCATATCTCTAAAAAAAAAAATTTAATTAATTATTTGACCAATTACACATTTTTCTATACAAAATTGTGATATAGAAAAAATTGTTTTAGAATTNGATCTAAACAGACAGAGCATATCTCTAAAAAAAAAATTTAATTAATTATTTGACCAATTACACATTTTTCTATACAAAATTGTGATATAGAAAAAATTGTTTTAGAATTTTAACATTCTGATGACTCTGATGCTTCACATTGCTTCATTTAACCAAAAATATTACCTTGATTCTTTATAATAAATTTTCATTAAATTCCAATTAATTGTTAATTGGAATTTAATAGATTTAGTTTTACTTAGTTGATTTATTTATAGAAGTTGATTTATTTTTACTTACGTTCTCTATTTTGGTCTTCACCTAGAATAGCATATCCTTTCAAATTGTATACATATTATGTATAATATAAGGGATTGGTGAGCATTAATAAGTTAAAAAGTTAATTATTTTTCTAATAAACTTTTTAACTTAACTAATTCAATTTTCCATTAAAAATCTTAGCTTTTTTCAGTTATTAGATAAAATAACAGTTAAGCTAAATTCAAAATTTCAAAAAAAATATATCTTTAAACGCTGCGGACGTGTTATAATTAAAAAAAATCGAATTTTTCCCTATCACAAATATTATATTAATACAAAAATAATTATAATATTCTACATTTTTTCAAAAAAATTGAGTTTTAGCTTACGTTCTTCATTTTGGTTTTTGACTGGGATACCATCAGCTTTAAAAACACAAAAATAATATATAAATATATATTTGTACCTTTATCACTATATAGACCCAAGTAAAATAATATAAATTCAGGAAAAATTAAATTTTATCCTCTTTCTTAAATGTATTTAATTAAAAAAAAAAAATTGAATAGATTTTTTTTTAAGGGTTTTAAAGAAAAAACAGTGTAACCAACACCAAAATGTATAAATAAATAAACCAAATTTTTGTTATCATTAATATTTTCTTTCTATTCAGTTGAAAATTGATTTATAGCTTTCCATTATATCACTGACCAATAAAAATTTTAAGAGATTTTTGCCGAAAAATTAAGTTTTAATGAAATAAACTTTTTTTTAACTTACTAAGTTTCAACTTATCTTTTAATTTACCTAGTTAAATTTATATTTTGGTAATTTTTAACTCTTAATATCAACATTATTCATACTTAAACTTAACTTAACTTAATTTAATTATTTTTATTAACATGCCCATCCTTGATATTATTTATATAATTATTTATGATCTCCTGTCGTTCAATATTTAATTATTTATATGATTTACATAATATATTTTATTTTACAAACAAATTTTTTTTAATAAAATTGTGAAGTAGAAGAAAATTATTTTGAAATTTTTAGGACTCTGATGACTTAACCATATAATGCTTCATTTAATCAAAAATATCACTTTGATTCATTATAATAAATTTCAAATTATTTCTTAATAAAATAGAAAGTTTATTTAGTTTTAACTTACATTTTTCAATTTGGTTACAATCTGTTTGCAAAACACATAAAATATAATAAATAAATATATTTTTATGTTTTGTTTACTACATAGACCTTAGTAGAATAAAATATATTCCGGAAGAACTAAATTTTATTATTTTTTTTAAATGTATTGAACATTGAAAAAATAAATAAAAATAGAATAGAATAGAAAATAAAGTTTTAGACATATGATCATAATTATAACAATTAAAATTATAAACACGAATACTAAAAATTTCAGTGCTTAAATCTAAAACTTTTAAATAAATTATGAAAATTGATTGATTAAAAAATAAATGTCGACTTCTTTTTAAGGACTTTTCTAAATTAAAAATAATAAATTTCAAAAGATATTAAAAACAAATTCATAAATTAACATCTTAATTAAATGAATATAGAAGAGAAATGTAAATTAATGGGTAGCGTCAATGGCGGTTAAGATGAGAAAAAATAGACTTAGATGGTTTGGTCATGTTATGAAGAGAGAAGAATCGGAAGCTGTCAGAACAGTTATGGAAATAAATATTGAAGGAAGAAGAGTTAAAGGAATACCAAAAACAAAAAAATGGATGGATGTTATTGAATGCAATATGAGGACGGCTGATGTGTGCGTAGATGAAGTGGGATATCGTATTTAGTGGAAGTTTAGGATAAGGGTGGCTGACTCCCAATAATTGGGATTAAGATGAGAAATAAGAAGGAGAATCATATGTGAATCATAATTGATTATATACATAATTAAATTTTATAAATTCTTAATAATGTCTTATTTAGTCAAAAATATAAAATATCTTCATTGATATAAAAAGTTAATTAAATTTTAACTTACGTTCTTCATTTTGGTTATCGGCTGGGATACTATCTGCTTATAAAACATAAAAAATAATATATACTAAGTGATAGGTTTATCATAAGCCATTCGCAAAAAAAATTGAAAATTTTTTTATTTTTTATTTTTTAGTTACATGTATTTTTTATTTATTAGCTATAAATTACATTTTAAAATCATCCTTTATAACTTATAGAGATGTTAACTTTATTTTTATCAAAATGTAACGTACATAATTTACTAGCTTCTTGAATAGATAATGATGAAATACAAAAATGACTTGTAGATAAAAATTTTTGGATTAGTATTACGGATATTATTAGCTTCGATGCTAAGCTGATAAAGTATTAATTTTAACATGATTTGTTTATTTATTTATTTTTTTTTTTGTGTCTGTCACTACTTTTTTTTCAGCTCTCACTAGACCTATTTTTCTCAACAATACGCCAAAATAACACAAATTGTATTTAATTGAAGGCATTACACTCAAAAATTAAAAAAATTTCTCTTGTTCCCCGTATATGTTGAAAATTCTCAACAAAAATTTCGATTTTTAAAATTAGTAAATTTTGAAATTTTTTTCACTTTTTTTTTTTTAATTTGTCATAACTTATTGAAAAATGAATAAAACAATAAAATTTCTTTTTATATTGAAACCTTATGAACTTCCCTTTCATTTGATATAAGTTTTATGATAATTTGACCTTTTACCTGCCCATAGTAGAGGATTAAAAATAACAATTTTTTTGCGAAAATCAACATTTCAACTTAACTTTTGAAAATGTTCCGGAAATATTACGTCCTTTAAACATATATTAAATTAAAGCCTATGTCATGTACTATAAAATGAAAAAAAAAATTGTCCCTACGACTTATCTTCTATGTGTTATTTGCAAATAGCTGCCGTATTTTGAAAAACATGCTATTTATATGTCAAATTTTATTTTTAAAATTAAATACTATCTACAGATTTGCAACGAAGCGTTTTTTATGATAGTGATTTTAATCACTGTCAGATTAAATTTACACTGGACCCAACTATGCCACGTCCCCACTGTGCTGGGTTGTTTTTAATTTATAATCCTTGTTGAGTGAGAAAAAAGGGGTGACTGGAGGAACTACGGTCACCTTAGCAAAAATTGTTATATATCTGGTTCTAAGACTCTAAATTTTATGCTATTTCAACAAATGGATGCATAAATATATTGACTGCATTATGTCAGTCTCAGATTTTTAAAACATAAACTTATATACATAAATATATATTTCTTTTTTAATGAAAATGACCGGTATTCCCCCTACCCCAGGGGAATATCGGTAATACATAAATACATGCAAAAAGATAGGGATAAAATAATTTTAAAAAAAACCCAGCACAGGGGGTCGCGGCACAGTGGTGACGTGGCATAGTTGGATCAAGTATAATAATATCTGACAGTGATTAAAATCGCTATCATAAAAAACCCTTCGATGCAAATCTTTAGATAGTGTTTAATTTTAAAAATTGGTGGATTATTCCAAAAGCTACATGATCTGTTATTTCCTTATTTATATCCTGAATGAAAAAGGGATTATTAAAAAATATTATTTCTCATGAAAAAATTGTGCTGATCCATATTTTTTTCAAAAAGTTTTAGTATTATAAACTTAAAAATATAAAATATAATACCAAGAATTTTCACACAAAAATAGCATNCTTAAAAATATAAAATATAATACCGAGAATTTTCACACAAAAATAGCATTCGGTAGCCATTTTTACCACGAAGACAAGTCCAGAGGTCAAATTTTTTTTTCCATAATAAAGTATATTACATTAGCTTTAATTTAAGGTATATATAAAAGTGTCAGACCTTCCGGAACAATTTCAAAATTTAAGTTGAAAAAGTAAATTTTTTGTGAAAAAGTTGTCATTTTAAATCCCCCCTATGGGTACGTTAAGTATC